CGCAGCTTTCAGTGAATACAGGGCCCAACGTCTGCGCTTGAGAACTCCGCAGAGAGAACTGATTTAACCATTAGAATCTTATCACGACCTGTACCTTTAAGTGCAGCGCCTATCTTTTGATTGTTGATTGACTCACAGTCATTCAGTCTGACAGCGTTCTTGAGCTCGATAATGTAATGTAAAAAGAGAATGCATAAAAAAGTAGGGTAAAAGTGACTTGTAAAAAAAGCGGTTCCCCACTAAAGAGGATTAAGTGAAGTCAGGTAACAGTGTGGATATCGTGGCGAATATCGATTTCAATCTGCGGTACTACCGCTTCTGCTGCCAAACATTGAATTGGTGGTAGTGAATTTCAACGCATTCGCTACTTTCACAACCACATTATCCTGCTACCAAGCGCAAAGTTCAGAGGTTTCATCGATTTTACGCGCATAGACGTGACTCCACTGTAGCGTGCTGAGGAGAGAACCTACATGGGACACTTCTCACTTCCTTTAGAAAATCATCAATCCGTGTCAACATGATTTCATTCAGCTTTCATTCAGGTATTCTTGGCATATTGTCATGGACAGGAACCGAACTCGATCCGATTGTCATGGCTGCTCTAATCATATCCATTGGATTTTCTGTGGATATACCGGCTCACGTATCCTTCCATTACTATGCCTCTGGTAAGCTTATAGTTCCCAACAAGAAGCAGAACCTATTCATTTCCCTCACAGAGGAACCCAAGATGCGGTCGAGTCGAACAATATCCTGTGGGAATGACAGAGTTGCCCGCGAGTATCACAGTTGTGCCCAAATGGCGCTAAGGCTTTTCGAAGTGGGATGATAACGGCTCATGATAGCTAATGGACGATACCTCGCGTACACCCCATGACACTGACTGTGGATCACAACGTAGTGGGTACTTCAAATACGCGCGGGTTAGTGCGGCCATGGAGCAAGCAAGCTGGGACAACACGTCCGACACGCCCATCCCTCAATCAAGTGGGTCAACTGAGGGTCACTTCTTAGAGTACACGCTGAGGGTCCACGTGCGCTGAACTCGCTACCTTTCACACTAATACAAGCGGCGTGCTAATCGCAGAGCCTGCACTTGGTCAGCCGAAGATCGGATATCGCGCAAGCAGCGGCCAAGCGCGACGAAACTTGCACCATTTCATGCTAAATTTGCGCACCCTCCCTCCGGGAGGGGCGATACTTTTGGTAGACAAACCATTGCGGCCTTACATGCTCCCATTGTCTGGTTAAGTGACATATTCCGCTCATACGCGTCCTTTAATCCTGGAATGCGCGTGCATCCTCTCCATTCTAGTATCGGAGCGACAGCTGCTCTAGTCAGCTACACCGCACATTCCAACTGGCACTTGAAAGGATGTTTGGATCACAGATCTGGATTTAAATTCATTGATCCCGGGACCATACATTGCTGACGGTGCTCCCGCGCCAGGGCCCATAGATTCGAAATTTCATCATCCTTTGCTCGAGCCCCTAACTGAGTTGTTACCAGAGCGTCTTGAAAAGCCATTTTTCAGCAGCGCATCTTGCTCCACCGGTCACATCTCGCCGTCGGTTGCACTACTGCTTATCGTCAGTAGGATTTCCAGCCCTCCAAGCCTCACTCAGTACGAGTCTTTGTTGTTTCTCGCATATGTTGGTATCATCGACATGTCTCAGGTGAGCATATTCTTTCCTCCATTTAGCCATTTTTTTCACTGAACCTGAAGCGTGGACTTATTTCGAAATAACGGGGCTCATGTCGGTTAGAGAACATAAATGAGTGAGCCCATTTTCAGCCTTGCAAATAATCTTTAGTAGTAGAAGACTCTGGGGGGGGGTAAGAATGAGCAATTGTGTCTGCCGGGCGTACCTTCCTGGTCCTCCGTGGACCATTAGTCTAGTGTCGGCCCTTGCGGTGGCCTTCCTTCGCACTGTCACCGCCAATCGGTCATGAGCCTATACCTAAACACTGGCGAAAAATCATTATTTCAGTGTTCCGTGAATCAAGATTCTTGTAGTGACGTTGTGCGTCCATTCACGGCTGCCGGCTGATTGTGCCTGCTCAGCCTCACCGATCCACTCATCACCAGACTACGTTCGTGCTCAAAAAGGTCATGATATGCGTGTTCAGTGCAATTTTCCTTCTCGCGTTCACCTCATTCTGTCTGAGTCTTTTCATACGTTGACCCTTCAATGTTTTAAGCTTTATAACCCTTACAATTTCCTCATTTCAGTAATGTTGTGCTTTAAAAGGTCGTTCACTTGGGAAATATGTATATGTTGTATAGAAAAGTCGATTTGCCTTTTTTTGGTTTTTTTTCTCGACCACATTAGCACTTTTCTATAATCGCACTTTATGATGGGTATTGATTTTGCGCGTGAATGATCTCGAGTAGTCATTTCTCAGAGCAGCGGCCGTGTGCGACTATTAGCGGGCTGTAAAAGACAGCTTGTTGTAGTTGTTATTTTGCTTAAATGAGGAAACATGTGCAAAATATAAGAAATAATAAAGTTTTGTAACCTTTTCTGCATCTCCTCTCACAAAGTTCGCTGACTTACTTTGGAAGGCGGCAGCGCGAAACCTGGTGGTAGCACAAACCATGTTCAGGGATCGAACTATGCATTCGATTCCAGTTGCGGCAACGTCCATAGTGCGATAATAGCAACATGCGATCAGGGCGATTCAGGCGGATCGGCCATTAGCTAGGAAAGGATACATTTCGATTAGACGCGATTGGCCGCGTAGGATTGTGCCTATGGAATTAAAATCGCCGCTATAAGAAGCTCTTTCAGGTGTTGCCCTTTCAAACGGTCTTCTTCTTTTGCATGATATAGGTCACAGATGGCGACACAGAACCATGGTTAATTTTTCCTTAAACGGCCCTCTGAATACCAGAAAAGGGGGTCCCTAGTCACACCTTTTTCACCAGTTTTTCAATCAAAGTCTATTTGTAAGGGTTACTGACGGTCCTAATCATGAATATGGTACTAATTATTCATGCTAACTCCATTTTGCGCGAATTTGGAAACGTCAACACGAAATGCAAAAACTTGTCACCACGAGGAATCGAACTAGGGACCCCTTTTCTGGTATTCCATCGAGTAGTCGGCTACGCGCGATTGCTCCTTGGACACTGAGGTCACTAAGCGCGCAACTCGTGTGCTACGTGTCTGGATGTCACGCCTTATGATATGTCTGCGGAAGTACTTCTGCCTTTCGATACGTCAAAAGATTTCGTGGACTTTGCGACACTAAGCTACGTCCCTTTGTAACCCTGGCAGGCATACTGTGACACAATGTTGACCCCAACCATTCGACGCTCAAAGAGTGCTTGTATCTTTCGTAATTTGGCTTTCGGAATTGAAGAATTGGTGAAAATGGAGCTGCCGAGGGCAGGGGTTTCCACTTCTTGATATCTTATTCTTACTAGAGAGCCCTTCCCCGAACTCTTCAACACTCCACAAGGGTAGGATGATTGTGACTGACTCATTTGAAGCGTACTATTAGAGGATGGGCGGGAAGTGGTGTAGTGGCAAGTGGCCACGCTTACCACGCGAGCGGTCCGGGGATCAAATCCTTGGGTCGTGAGTCGCCCGGGCCAACCAAGCCTTCCATCCCTCCGGGGTCGGTTAATTGGTACCAGACTTGTCTGGGAGGATAAAAAACACTGACTTGTACATCGGCTGGCCCCCGCAAGTCATTGTATAGGCCACATCGCATTCAAAAGCCACTACGAATGTACAAATGGAAGGTAGAAGGGTGCCCGCAACGGCAGCTCCTTGGGATGATAAAAAAAAACACTGAAAAAAGGATTGATCAACGGCAAATGCTTTATCCTTTCATTTGTTATTGAGAGGGATCGGTTAGGGTCCTACATCCTGTCCACATTCTACCCAATTTTCTGCATTCGTTCGTTCACTGTGGAGCTCCTCCACCTTAGGCCTAGGCAGAGATGTCCAGGACCGTTTCCTTGGACTACGGCAGGAAATGTGAAAGAATCTCAGGACTTCTTCCATATTATACAAATTATCAGAAGTACATTATGAGTCAATTAAAGGCAGCGATTACGATAGGTTCAAGAAGGGTTTAGAGGAGACGTGGTGGTGCTCAATGGTACGTCGGTGGCGAAAAAAGCGGAGAAATCCGTCAAAAAAACGCAAAATGGGACCCCCTTTTTTGGCCGTTGGTTTTCACTCATGAACAGGTAACAGCTCAGAAAGCGGACGTATGAACGAGTTCAGCGCAACGCGTTTGGTGGCACCATGCCAAACCACGCTCCAATCGAGTTGCTCCAGTTGTGCCGCTGCTGGCAACGCAGCTCGTCCAAATCACCAACTAAACTAGTGGGCGGATCGCTTTTGGGGGCGGAGTGCTTTCGAAGTCCTGCTCAGCAACCAGCGCACCTTCGTCGTGAAAGCGCTACACCTCGCTTCCCTGGCAGCCAAGTAACTGATTCGTGTGGTGCATATGCATGCTTTCCCGATGCACTCCCAGTTTATCGTAACCGCTTACACACTGATTTTACCCTGGGCCGTGACCTTTAGTTAATTCTGAGAAGGTCAACGAGGTGTGAAGGGGTAGGATCTTTCAAAACCTATCGGCGCGTCAAGGCGCTCCTAGAACTATGCTACTTCCACCGAGAAGTCGTTGGACAATTCCCGATCCTACTGGAAAACCATGAAGCAATTTTTATTTCAAAATATTCATTCAACAGCTTAAGAACATGATCGCACAAATTTGTACATGATATGAGAAACTATAATACCTAGTTATTTACATGCAAATCGACGAGGTGTCGATGAAAATTAATTGAGTGAGCATGATTCGGGAAAACATAGAGGAAAAGACGTAGAGGAGACGGAAAAGAAGTAGGGAGGAGAAAATGAAAATATAGAAAATATCCCGTTTTGAAGATCTATCCACCCACGTTGGCAGCTGTGGCGGACGAGTATCAAACCTCTGGACGATCGGTTACAAAGCTCTTCTCTGGCGCGATCTGAATAGAGAAACGCTGTTCGCCTGTGTTTTGGTGCACCGTGACGTTCGCACTCTTTCGAAAATTTCGCGACCCCCTCCTTAGGGGGTCTCGATGCGACCCTCTCACCACCACCATGAGACTCAGGAGGCTCCCTATACAATCCCCTCCCCCTTCTCCGACCGTCACCCTCGCCATCATGGCTGTTTCAAATCAAATTTCCCACCTATCCTACCTCACGCTGTGCGCCAATCACATCCACAAAATCCCTCAAGAAACCAAATCTAAATCGCCTCACCATTCACTCAAAAAATTATGCGAACGCATGGTTGGCCCTAGGTGCACCCTGATGGTAACACCGACTGTGTCACGGTATTCGC